GAACACTAAACTGTAACTTTTAATAAGGTAATGTAGACAGTATTCTCCTATTTAAATGAAAATGTTTGACCTGTAAGTAGAAAGGTTATGGACGTTGATTTTTGGTCTCTATTTAAAGAAGAGGAAGAGGAGGAGGAGGAAGTTTTACTCAAGCAGCTCCAGAAACTGTCAAAACTGTCCCACTGTTTGTGGGTGAGGTTGAGCGTTACCTGCTAGATATAGTTGGGCTCACCTCGACTCACAGCTTAGGCCCAACTCCAGGAAAAGGGCTGGACTTTCTTCTGCTTTGGAGTTGCCCAGGGATAGAAGCATCATGTGGTGATACTCACAAGCCCCCAGCTGTGTGCCTCTGTGTTGGAGTTCACCCCGATTGCCTCTCTGCAGCTTTGTGCTGCAGGAGTTATCTGGAATAGGGTGATTGGGAGGAACTCTCTCCCTGATCTGAATCCAAATGGTGTTCTGTTATTGGACTTTTGTGCTAATCACGGGTTGTCCATAACACAAATCATKTTTGAGCATAGGGTGGTCCATAAGTGTACTTGGTAACAGGCCAGCTTAGGCCAAACATCGATGATCGATTTTGTAATCATGACATCTGACCTGAGGCCCTATGTCTTGGACACTCGGGTGAAGAAGAGAGGGGCAGAGCTGTCAACTCACCTATTATCCAAAACAAAAAGGAACTATGGATCTGGTTAACTGGTCTCTGAACACAACTGACACCGTTTTTTCCACAATAAGATTGGAACGAGGGGAACATAGCTGTCCCAGTGGAATGGTTGCAACTGGTCGGATCAGCAGTTCATGGGCTTGGAACCTGATCTGTCTGGCTCCGCTTTTCACTGAAGACGTGGAAGATTTGTATGTATTTGGATTTATGATAACTGGATTCCTGCTGATCGGCTGTGGAGTTCTGAGTTATTGGAAGTTGAAAAGCGATCCTGACAGCAGTCTGGGCCTGTGAGAGGCTGTCAGAGAAAATGAATGGAATCTCCCGCTCTAGAAACACATAGACTCAGATGCTGGAGGAGATAAGTCGCAAACTGGATGTGATTCTGACGAGAATCGCTGCCCAGGAGTGTGCCTCAATGATGTAAGGATTACACCTGGGTGAAGTTTCAGACGGTGAGAGGTGAGAAGACTCAGAATTCGGAACATTTGGTATTTTTCGCCATCTTCAGAAATGTAGTGAGACTGAAAAGCAGCAAGGAAATTAAATGCCACTTGTCCCAAAAGGACAAGAGGGAGGATACCTAAATAAGGGCGAATAAGATCTGGTCTCTGGACTCTGGTGAGGCCTTGGATTGGTTCCAGCACGGAGAATTAACCTGAAACGTCACCATCTCCACTGAACCCTTGCCCCAGTCCAATGTGTTTGACCCCAACCCATCCCAGCTGTCTTGCTCTAGCGAGTCATTTTTTTGTGCATATGATTCTGTGTTTATGAGTAAATATAGGATCAGAGCAACTTTTTTTAGCTCACCTATCCTATTGTGTTTTTTTCTAAACTTCAAAAAGGTAGCATGATCATGTTTGCACAAGACCTGTTCATCCGTTCACCCCCATGTTTGTTATGTGTCTTTCTCCTGAACGGAATGTTCTTAACTGCAATTTCATTGTGCATTGCATCTTTGATGCTGTGTGTGAATGATAAAGCTGATTCTGATTTTCAGTGCAGGTTGGACTCTGCCAGGGCTGTCCCTTGTCTCTGATTCTGTTTGTAGTATTTATGGACAGGATCTCAGGACTCACTGGAGGGATTATGTATCCTTTCTGGCCTGGGAATGACTTGGGGTCCCCCAGGACGAGCTGGGAAGTGTTGTGGGGGAGAGGGATGTCTGGATTTCTCTTTTGGATCTTTTGTGTCTGCGACCCGACTACGGATAAGCTGAAGATGGAGAAATATAAATAAAACTCACTGCATGTTTTATAGTTTTCCTGTATTTCTGTCTTTTACTGCAATTTTGAACCTGTTGTGATTTGTTTGGGTGAGGAAGTTTGGTGAAATGTTGCAAATCAGTTGTGTGATTTAGTGTCTTTAACAAAGTCCTTCAGCACTCAGCATCACACTGCAGCTTCATGTCTCCAGTCTAATCTTGAATGAGAAGCAAAGACTACAGTATGTCAGCGATGGGAGCCATGAGGAGCAGGAAGGACAGATGATATCCTGGAGGTCACATGTTGCTGTTTGTAAAGAGACGGTTGTTAACGGCTGTAAAGTAAAGTGTGCTCTCTTACCAACAGGTCACTCTCACAGCCAAAACTGACTCCAGTGGAGTTCATCGTCTTCAGATTGATGAAATTATTGTTGGCCTTCATGTTCCTGAAGCAGGCCTTCACAGAGCTCTGCTTTGAAAACACCATCTTCAAACTGAGGAAAGAAAAAAAAACACAAATTACCAGAAAAAAACACTACTTAAAGTTACTGTTTTTCTTTTAGCTGCTTCTTCCTGCAGGAGGGGACGCAGTGAGTGACAGATCTGCCACTTGTTTTACGCCAGATGCCTTTAATGATGCAATCTGAGCTTAAACCTACAGCCTCAGAATAAGAAGACCACCGAGCTACCACAGTCCCACAATCTGCAGCGTAACTAGATCTGATGCATTTAGGAGGTTTTTGGACCTCCAGCACCAGGTTCAACACCATCAGCAGCATGAAAGGATGCAGGTGAAGGAGCTTTCTGCACCCGTCTTCCTTCCCTGTTCTGCTTCTAGTTTTTTAGCTCGGTGTCTGACAGGAAAGCCATGTGGTCCTAGTGGCTGGCACGTTTCTGAACTGCTGCCACACAAACAGTGTGAAACGTTGAGACATCGGCAGTAACAGTTGAATCTCATGGCACCACTGCTGCAGAGGTTTACAGAGCATCTTTCACACCACAAACAGTCTTTGGAGACTAGTCATTCAGTGCCTACTTTTTAAAGACTCCACCCACCTTTCAGGCATTTTGTGCTGAGGTACTCCTCCCAGATAGTAGGTGTCCTGGAACTGAAGGGACCCAGGGCTGTCCACCCCGATGGTGAAGAGGGTTTTTGAAGGTTGCCTCACCACAATTTGTTGTTTGCTCGACACGATGAAAACATTCAGCTTATCGATTACAAAACAGTCACAGGAAGAAAGAAACAAAAAGTCAGTAATTGTTTAGAATTAGATTTTAAAATGTAATACAAAACCAATTCCTGTGAAGTTGGGACGTTGTGTAAAACTTAAATAAAAACAGAATGCAATGATTTGCAAATCATTTTTAACCTATATTCAGTTGAAAACACTCCAAAGATAAGATATTTAATGTTCAAATAGATGAACTCTTTTACTCTGAAGCCACACTGTTGGAACATGAGCAGAATGTGTCTTCATTGTCTTGCTGAAATCAGCAGGACGTCCCTGAAAAAGACGTAGCTTGGATGGCAGCACATGCTGCTCCAAAACCTGGATGTAGCTTTCAGCATTAATGGAGCCTTCATGTGACAGTTACCATGACGTGGGTAATAATACACCCCCATACCATCAGAGAGGCTGGCTTTAGAACTTTGTGCTAATAACAATCCAGGCAGTCCTTTTCCTCTTTGGCCAGGAAGACACTATGTCCATGATTTTCAAAAACAATTAGAAATGTGGACTGGTCAGATTCGCCTTTGCTTTGTGACTGACTGAGCCTTTCAGGGATGCTCCCTTTATACCCATTCACAACACTCACCTGTTTCCAATTAACCTGTTCACCTGTGGAATGCTCCAAACAGGTGTTTTTTGTTGCTCCCACCCCGGCTTTTATGGAACATGTTGCAGCATACACAAACACTTATTGAGTGTTGTTAAAAGGAAAGCTGATGGAACACAGTGGGAAACATGACCCTGTCCCAGATTTTTTTAGAACATGTTGCAGCATCAAATTCAAAATGAGTGAATTTCCAAAAAAAAACACAATAAAGTTTATTTGTTTGAACATAAAATACCTGGTCTTTGTAGTGGATTCAGTTGAAAGGGTTATATTTGACTTGYAAGACTTACAGATCTTGCTTCACCATCACTGATCTTCAGGAAATCTGAGGTTGAATCTTCAGGTTTAGCGTCCACCAGTGATCCGTTAAAATTATAGAAAACCTTGAGTCTTCCCTGAAGCACGGCCAGGCACAGGAACTTGTTCTGATGGAGACGGAGACAGAAAGAATCCTGAGCAATACCTGAGAAATGACAGCAAGCATTCAAACCAAACAGAACAGAACTTGTTAAACATGTTCAGCATCATCGTCTGCTGCTGTAAAGGCCAGTGTTTCTAACCGAGTGTGTTGGTTTGTTTGTATCTTTGTCAGCAAAATAGCTTCTGACTCACTGGACAGATTTTCACAGTGATGGGCAGGTGAGGCCTTGTGATGCTCTAAGGCTCTCCTTCTAACTGAGCCAAGCAAGAGTCAAAGCTTTGAGGCTTCAGTCCGACCAAAGAGTAAATATAATATCACTAGAGTGAGCGAGGAGCAAACATGATGACTGAACAGCTCACAGCTGTCATAGCCACTATTAGATTAAGATCAAGCCCAAAGAGATATATTTCATAGATTATCTGTTTATATGTTTAATTCAACAATCATGTAAAACAGCAGATAAACTGTATAACAGAAAAATACATAATTTCTAAACAATGATCTAAATCAGACCTGAAGTCAGTATGTAACTTATGTAACTTAGCTAGCTGAAAAATTATGATTTCAACTATTGATAAAGTATACTTATTATTTCTTACTGTCATAAATAATTATAAATATTTACCAGTCAACACTTAGAAAATGTTATAAGATGAAACTTTACTGATATTATCTAACCATCTTCTCAACAGGTCAGGTTCCTCTAACAGAAAACTAAAAATAATTAAATACATGATATTATTTTTATTGTTTAAATGTTACATAAATCAGAAGGAATACTTGCTTATAATATTTAATTGTTTGTGGTAAATTGTAGCATGATTCAGCAGAGTGCTACAATCTGTATATATGCTACAGAAGCTAATACCTGCTAACCAGCTCAATAAATAACAGCGATTACATCAGCTTTATGTTAACTCATCATCCACACATCACTGAACAGAGTCAGGTTTTACCTCGTTGTACAGGAAGAAGATAATTCCTTTATAGGAGAGCAGTTTCAGCTCCAGGTCGAAACGTGTTTTTGTTCTTTCAGTCGTAACAACTTCTGCAAAGCCACTTCCATCAAAATATGCTGCTTCATTTTCCCAGCCTGGGGACTGCGTCGACTTGGACCTGTTTGTACAAATTTTAACAATGTGGGGAATAAAGAATAAGTATCTAACATAAAGTAAAGCAAGTTATCCCAGGAGAGGTACAGTTTAACCCAGGGATCTGCAGCATTTACAGTCAATTCTGCCCTTCCACCTGCACAATCTGATTTACCCAGAGCTGCAACGTTTCAATAAGGTACCACTGACACAACTCAGTCAGTGGTATTTCATATATGTATTATATATCTATTTATTTATATATATAGTACTATAGTATTTATTCATGAATAAAAACTACAGTTGCAATATAAAAACAACATTTTGTAATACAGTGACATTTATTGTACTTGTTAGGACAAAAGAAAATAAATTGTGGTGTAAAGGGAAACGTGTATCTTATTTATATTTCCTTTAAAGGAGACATATCATACTAAATGCACTTTTTTTGCATTTATAAACTATTTTTTGTGCAATTATAGTGTCTAGGAGTGTAGAAAACTTTAATTT